CTGTTGCATGTCAACTACTTACTGTCAGGATAGTTGACCCTCATTATTCTGAGACAGCATTCAAGAGATGCCCCTCAAAAATGGAGTCTCTTTAGAAACTTTTATCTCTGTGTCCTTGGTAGTTTTCACCTTCTCCATCACAGCCACATGGGTTGTGGGAGTGGGGGAGCCAAAAAGTGTGGAGTAGGTAAATCCTCCAGAATTTGTACAAATATTTTTTTTCCCTTCCAGAGATCTCTTAGATTCAGGCATTACAATGAACTATAAAAGATTGACAACAAGCTGTCTTCTGTAATGGACTCTTATAATGCAAGAAATGCTATCTATTTAGCATTACATTTGCCCTGTTCTTAATGTTGGTTTTCTCTCTATAATTTACTTTGAAATGACTCATTTCAACCTTTAGACAAACCCAGTTCCTGGAATATGGCTGGATCAACTTCACTTGCCTTCCATGTTTGCTAGCATTGAGCAACAAGACTGCCAGAAAACAAACTGAAGAGCTTGTGCAAGGGTTCCTGGGTCACCAAACTCAGATTGCAATATGCCTCTGTAAACAGAAGGAAACTAATCATTAATGAAGGAAGGGGTGGGGGATTGACAAAATTAAGATTGAAATACAACCAAAAATACCTGAGAGGTATTGCTTTGTGCCACATCCACACCTTTCTGAAGATGTTTCAGCTAAGAATTCTCTGTGCACTGCTGTGCTTCAACATCGCCTTGGTATGAACATATTTTAATTTAGTTCTCTTGTTTCTTTGCTGGTTGTATTGATTTGCGTTCCTTTTACTGCTTGCCTATTGAAGGAGCAACATATTTTATCCCTTATTATCAAATAGTAATATGTTCATGAAGAACAAGCTCTTCCCCTTCAAATATTCTCTTAGGGGTAGTATAATTCTTGGGCCAACTTGAAGGTTTGTTGATGAAATCTGTATTTACCTTTGTTTGCACATGTGCAAAAATCTCAGTGCCACATCTAGCGCCTACTTATGTTCAACAAGTTGCATATAACAGGTAATTCAATCTTTGGAGAGTTGACTGGTACCCAAAAGAACATTATGATGCAGCACATATCCTGATGTGTCTTTGCATTTTCAAATGCTCATGTAAGTTGAAGTTTATTTATCATCTTGGTTGACTAGGACCATTAGTTTACTACAAATACAGTATACATTCATATGTATTTCCTTTATATGTTTCATACAAAATCTAGAAGACATGTTTGAACATGTTATGATATTTGTAATATTATTAACAAAAAATCTTTTACAATGTGCTAACATTTGTTCATACAATCACCAGGAGTCAGGCCCACACAGCAGCACTTAATTACAGGTGCGTTACAATAAAACTGATATTGTAAAACTGTACATGTCTATTTAGCAATCCCATTGATTTCAAAGTCCTCTACTATTTTCTAAACAAAAAAGCTGGGACAATGGGACTCAGAAATACAGCACATCACAGTCACTTCCATGACTGCTGTTTAAGGCCAGCTCTGATGATAAAAAGGCAGTCCTAGAGATATAGCATTGTCAACATTCACTGATTCATTGATAACTTTGTAATTCCTGATAACTTTTGTTCAATAGATAGAATTGATAGAGTATTGCTGATTTTAATCATTTGTTTTAGGTGACTTTAATCATTTGTCGCCATCTGATAATGAGTAATCCATAAAACATGATTTTCATTTGCATCAGAAACAACATAGTTCAAGGAATTATCCCAGTGCAGAGTAATTTGTGACACCTTGATTTGTATTATAAACCATTTTTATAATATTATTTTTAAATATTTTAGTTTGAATTTAAAGATAGTTTTGTATTTAAAATTAGCTGTATACTTTCAGTACTTCAATAATTCTGATTAGTTCATAATACATTTTAATATAGTCAGCATCAAAATAGAGAGATGCTGTTCATTTAATCTTCTATTTTTAGTATAATGGTTAATATTAAGGAAGACTTTTACTGTATGTCAATTCATTCTCTTCATAATTTAAAGTCTCATGACAAAAATTAAAATGATGTCTTCTAATTAGATGAAGAGTCAAGTTGAGCTATCTGACACACTTGTTAGTACTGCAAATGCTAATTACAATTTCTAACTCATAATGTTTAATATTTTTTGTAACATGTTAATTACATGAGTTGAATCCAAACAAGTGAGCTACATTGAAATCCTATTGAAATCAGTGGGATTCAAAGTAACCCTGGCTACATATTCATGTGTACTTCCATGGGCCCTAATCAAGCAGTTCTAATGTAATATTATCTTTGTGGGAAAGGGGGATCATTTTTAGGATTAGAGTAGTGAAAGTAGTGGATCATTTTTAGGAGTAGAGTAATCATTCAATCCATATTTATAAAACTAGGAAGTAGGTACCAATACTGATATAGCTAGAGATGGATTCTCTCTTCTAGACTTTATGGGCTTTGTTCCTTTGAACAACTATTATCTATTCATTAAAAATGTAATAGTCAAATAATTGCAAGTAAATATCTAATATGTGGTTAATATTTACATTATTTTTAGCAAGTACCAAGGATTATCAACTAAAGACATATGAGTTATTTATGACTCAAGGAATTATTATTGTGTGCATTTTCAGCATTTAATTTCAGCTTTAATTCAGCCTTCTTTGTTCTCCTTTATTTCATGACAGGCAACAGACACTGGATCTTCCTTTCAAGAACTTGGAGGAGGAGTACGTGGCCCCAGAATAGTAGAGCATAAAGCTCAATCTGACTGCAAACAAGATAAGGAATGGCCAATATGTGCTGATGAGGACTGGGTAAGCCAACAGACAATAAAAACACTAATGGTAGACTAATCACATTGTTTTTCATGTAAAACCACCATTTCCCCTGTTGTAATGTGTTAGATATACATAGGCTAGATGCAGTAGAGAAACACATTCATAATTCAGTAATTTCCACAAAAATATTACTTTGAATATCTGGTTCAATGATTTTCTTTATCTTTTGGGCATGATTATCAGCTGCTGTGGAGAGTAGTATTAGAAATGTCCTGATCAAGAACAGTTCAGGCCACAATCCTGCTCACTTTCCTAAGAGAAAGCCTGTTGCAACACAGTTAACCAGGTCATTGGGGATAAGTGTTTTGTGAGAACTAGCAGAGAAGCAAATGAGCTGTTTAACTACCCCAGAAGAAGAACTATAAACCTCCTTCTCTGCCTTATTGATAGTATTCATCTCCTGCATTCCTCTTGGGCAAATACAGTCAATTAATATAATAAGATTTACTTTTGCGTAAATGTGCATAAGTAATTGTACAAATCTGTACAAAGTATAGAAGTTTTTAAACCATGGTTTGGGTTCACACAATAGGAAACCACAATGACTGAGTACACATATCAGTCTAATTCAAAACAAAGAAGCCTTGTGGCTTGTCTGGTGTTTGAACTCAGCTATTTTATAACATCTGAAGATTGGTCAACTATCTGACAATTGTGTTATGTACCCTTATGTTTTGTTTCTGTTATTTTAGGGCATTAGATGTCCCTCAGGTTGCAGGATTCAGGGACTGATAGATGAAACAAATCATGATTTTCAAAACAGGATAGAAAAAATTAAGAAAGTGCTCTTGGATAATCAAAATAGCTACAAGTCATCCAATACTTTGAAACAAGAAATTTTTAACTATCTGGAAAGATATCTGCCCAGTGAACAAGGTGAGTTTCATCTCAGTTATATGAAGGTTAAAACTGCCCATAAAACTGAAAGGTATCTGAAATTCTTCAAATTCTGTAGCCCCAGTGCATCTGGAGGGCATATTAGGGAAGGCTGGCATGTAAAATCAATGGTTGTTTTACCTCAGGGTTATCACAGCTATTAGAAATAAATTGGTAGTAAGCACTCTTATCTAATTCTGGCCTAATTCAGCTTCCTTCAAGATCACAATAATTGTATCCTCTTCACCAATACTTAAAAAAATCTTAGAAATGTGTTTCTTCCAGTACATTCTTTCCTCACTTTCCCTTCCAAAAGTTACTTGCTATGCTTTCAGACCTATGTATGTATTTTCCAGTACCATCTCTGGAACACATGGCTTAGTGTTATGGTTAGTAAGAAAGGCAGGAAGTCATATTCCAAAACATGCCTGTCAAATATGCACTGTTTCTAAGCCACCTACTCATTACTTAGTTGCACCTGAAACAGAGATGCATGTGCTGAGTATTGATGCAGAACAAGGAGCTGTGGCTTGGAAGACTAAACAAGAGGGAATCTTCCATATATAAACAGAGGCAGATGGTTCCTTCAGTTCCAGATGTTAACCTAATGTAATGGCTCTCTCAGAACCAAAACTAAAAATAAGAAGACTTCCCCCCAAGTCTTACAAATAGCAATGTAGCCCAATATAAGTTGGGACCACAGTGGGAGGGAGAAAACTCTTTGGGGCTATTTAGAATAAGAAATGCAACACAAGAGAGTGGAATGAACTCTTTCCCTTCCTAGTAGAGAGATTCTGATCTGAATCCACAGCTGCACTTTGTAAAAAGAAGTAGAAGGAAGAGAGAAAAAGGTTAAGAAGGAATTGCAGTTATAATATTCTATCTCTAAGACTCTATCCAGTCTTATAAACACATATACAGTACTACTGAAGTATTATATGGGTGGTTCCGGCTAATCTTAAAGGCATCAAACTGCGAAGGCTGTGTAGTTTTGGTTAATCCATATTTTTAGAGCACTTATATGGTATGAAGGGCTTTGGCTATACTAACTTCTTTTATTTCAGAATTAGATAAGAACTATGGACAAATAACTGATGATCTAAGAAGGAGGTTGGTGACACTGAAACAGAGAGTTGCTGATAAAGTACAAAGGATTAAAACCTTGCAGAATTCTATCCAGAATCAAGTTGGAGAGTTGAAACGTTTAGAAGTGAGTTGTGTTATTTTCTTTTAAGACATACCTTTTTAAAAATGTTGGAGCAAATACCTACCCATGCTCCTTTTTATCAGCTATATGTTTTCAATGAGTGAGGCGTTTTCAGCAACCAATGTGGGATTAGAGAAAGATACTTTTTGTATGATGGATGGTCTTCCTTCCTTCCTTCCTTCCTTCCTTCCTTCCTTCCTTCCTTCCTTCCTTCCTTCCTTCCTTCCTTCCTTCCTTCCTGTTGTATAGCAGCAACCTTTTCTTTCATTGAGGATTATGTTCCCCAGAAATAATCAGTTGGTAGGTAAGACTGAAGCAAATTCCATGTGGAATCAGCATCAACCTGGATGGGCTACTCACTTCTCTTCCCCTTTTTAATTTCTGTAGCAGACTGCCAGGGAAAGGATATTAAAATCTGCAATTCGTTTGCAGAGGTCTTTTTGAATTAGATCAAGGGTCATATGAAATGAAGCTAAAGGCCACATATAATTCTATGACTGCAGATTTCCCACCTACATTTATGGCAGAATTTAGCCCTACTTCAAGCAACAATGGAGCTATTATCAGCAATGACTTGACAAGAGTTCCTTATTTTCAATGTAATGAGGCAATAATTAGGGTTACAACTCAATTGAGAGGTTTAGGAATCAAAGTCCACTTACAAATCTCTACTTTTTTTTTTTTCCAAACCATCATGGCCTAGGTGGACATTGATATTAAGATACGTGCCTGCAAAGGATCTTGTGCTCGCCTATTCAATTACAATCTGGACACTGAGAGCTATGGAAACTTACAGAAGCAGCTCGTACAAGTTAATTCCATTAACTTGGGATCAGAAGAGGAAGTTCATCCCCTGAAGGCACTGAAAATAACACAAGTGAAAGATTCTACTGCTTCTCAATATAAATCTGGTTATCTGACTGAACAAGAAAAAAATTTACTTGACAGTATAAAGGTGTTTAAGGTAGTATTGGAAGATTCTAAAGGATCCTTAATAGACACCAAGTATGTTTCAGAAGTAGACACAGCTGGAAAACTATCTACAAGCAGCAAGGCAATAATAATACCTTCAGTTGGTGTTCAAACCAGCCGTACATGTATCAAAACCATTACTAAAAAAGTCATTCGTGGGCCTGATGGTTTCAGGGAAGAGATAGTTGAAGAATTTAAAAGTCCTGATGGTTCAGATTGTTCTGATTTGCGTGATTTCATTAAAGAAGCAGGAAGTTACCATCATGTCAGTAGTGGAGGCGGGGGAAGTGGCTCTCACGATTTTGCTCCCCAACATCCAGATGCAGATTCTGGAAGCATATCCTTTAACACAGAATCGTTTAGCCACACATCAAAAATACAGGAAGGGGACACTTTATCAGAAATAGGGGAGGGAGAATTTGATGACTTCTCAAGATTTGAACATTCCTCACATGGAGGTCATTCTAAGACAAGTAGCACTTCGTCCCATTCCAAGACAGTTATATCCAGTAGCAGTAGCACTAGTGCCTTCAACAAAGGGGATTCCACCTTTGAGACCAAGTCAAGAAGAATCCTTGAATCAGATCATGATGTAGAAGAAGTACAACATGATGAAAATGCAGAGCATAGTCCTGATTTAGAAGAAGAAAACTTGAATGCAGAAGAGAAGCTGGGGAAAGGCAACATCGGGACAGGTATCCATCCAGTTCATGGAAAATAATTGTGGAGGGAGCAAAAATGAAGTTTGCAACCAAACTGACACAAATACTGCAATCCATGACATTGTTCAGTTAATAAAAGCCATGTGTCTGTTTGTTGCCATTTAAGAAAGGTGGGATACAATGAGTTTTTATCATGAGTAATTGGTTAGCAAGGCAGTTCCATACAGAATGCCAGTGGTAATAAATTTAAATCTAAATGTTCTTTGTGGGTGGGGGATGACACAAAATGTCTTTCCATGTAGCACAACATTAAGTGTAGACAGTTGACTTCAGCAATATTACTGTTGGATTCCTGTGAGCTTGTAATAAAATTTAACTGAAAACTTCTGTCAACTTGATCAACTTTGTTTTTTTAGACTGTGAGGATATCCACCAAAAACACACTTCTGGTGCCCAAAGTGGCATTTTCAGAATCACGCCAGCAGGATCCGCTAAGGTTTTTTCAGTTTATTGCGACCAAGAGACTACTTTGGGAGGATGGCTTCTGATCCAACAGAGATTGGATGGGTCATTGAATTTTAACCGGACCTGGGAAGACTACAAGAAAGGTTTCGGCAGCTTGGATGTCAAAGGGAGGGGAGAGTTCTGGTTGGGCAATGAAAATCTCCATATCCTGACCCAGGAGGACACTGTCCTTCGGGTTGAAATAGAAGACTGGGAGGGCAATAAGGCTTATGCGGAATATAATATACATGTAGGTTCTGAATCAGAAGGTTATAGGCTCAGAGTCTCCGACTATAAGGGGACAGCAGGGGATGCTCTGATCAAAGGATCAGAGGAAGATGGCAGTGAATATACAGCTCACACTAACATGAAATTTAGTACTTTTGACCAAGACAGTGATCAGTGGGAAGAGAATTGTGCTGAGGTATATGGAGGTGGCTGGTGGTATAACAATTGTCAAGCTGCTAATCTCAATGGGATTTACTACTCAGGTGGTCAGTATGATCCAAGGGACAATGTTCCTTACGAGATTGAAAATGGAGTGATCTGGTTACCCTTCAGACCATCAGATTACTCTCTCAAAGTTACGCAAATGAAAATTCGGCCAGTAGAAACAGACTAGATACCAGCCCTAAAATCTAAATCCAACTTCCAAAACAATATATACCTCAAACTTACTATGTGTGTATGTGTGTGTGTGTTTGGTTTTTTTTACCAAAGTTTCTGAATGCAACTGAGTAATACCTACCTATTAAACAAAATAAACAGATTCACTCTAATAAATTTTTCTGGTGTATTTAACTTATTTTGCAAAATCAAAAGAAGGTGGGGGGGGATGTATATATCTTATAACTGTGTGAAGCAATACACTGAAACCAGATTTTAAATCATTCCAGTGGAAAAAAATTGGCAAAGCAAAGAATGATCCTTTTATTTAAATATATGGCAGAAAACTGGGGAAAAAGTAGAAAGAAAAAAACAGAATTGCACTTTTCTTATTACATAATAAGTGGGATCAGATCTTGATTTCTAAAACAAGGAAGGAAAATCCTCTTAGAAAGGAATGATTATTAACACAACATTTTGAAGTGTGGCACTGGAACATTTTTTATCACCAGTGTAATGAAACAATATTATAGGAAAATTTACAATCACATAGGAAATCTGCCCCCAATCCCACCTCAAACTGTAATAGTTAAATGTACAATGCGGAAATTGTGCAATATAATAGTCCTCAATACTGAAACATTAACTTTACGACTTCCATTATATTCTCAAATAGCTGTTCAAGAGACCCCTTTAGGATGTTCAAGTGCTGCTCTGGAAAAAAACAATGTTGGAGTCCTCAAAGACCCCTTAGGAAAGATATGTGCCCTTTTTGCTCCTCTTCATACTGACTTGAACACTGTTTTTAATGCAGTTCTACTGTGGTAGGCAATAATCCACCATCTGCTCTAATTGTATGGGAACATTTTCAGCTTATGAGGCCTGAGAATATAACCACTTATTGCTGCTCTTTCTATCACATGTTTGCTTGACCCTTGCCCATCTTGGGTTATCTGAGCTAGTGAAGAGTGGCTGACTGGATGGATCCAGAAACTGGTAATGGAGTGATCCTGTAACTCCACTGCCCTCTCCTGAAAAATAATTTCCTGGATCCAAAGGCTTTCACCAACTATACTGCCCAGTCCCAAAAATTCTTTTGGAGGGCAATATTCTAAGATGGAGGTTCTGTGTAGCTGCAGATGTTCGTGGAAAAGACTGGTTATCTTAATCCTTTTAGGATTTGGGACAGAATCAGCCATAGTTACCCTGCCACACCTCCCATGGAAGACAGACAAAGAATGTATGATTTTCTTAATCCTACTTCATCTTTCTGTGGCTTTGGAATTTTTGACCATTCTCCTGAATCAGGGATTGGGGGCACAGTTTTTCTTTGATTCTACTCTTATATGCAAAAATGAAGTAGTATCAGATCATTATGCCTCTGCACTCTTGCAGCTGTGGATCACAGCTTACTATGTTGTTGCCACTTCTATTTAACATCTACTCAAAGCCACTGATAGTGGTCATCAGGAATTGATGTTCTACTCAGCAGCAAAATGCTGACTGAAACTAATGGGCTGATTGCTCTATAAAGAACAAACAGCAACAGAACTAGTCAGTCCTAGAGGATGTTTCAGTATCCAGGTTGAATTGAGGGAAGACCCACATTGTGTGCTCATTAATATCTAAGGTAGAAGGGACGTAGAATGAGGCCTCAGATATTGACCTTAATATACAGGGAGGCTTAACTGGGTGGATTACAGGCCACACAAATCATCAGGGTCTGGCCTTGTTGAGCCCTGCATCAAGACAAACCCCTGCTATCTATCTTTGGAGTCTCCTGACTCTGCTTTTTCTCTTCTCTTCTTTTACTTCCCTTCTGTATAATACAGATTGAATCCAAAGTACCAAGGAATAGTAGTACGGAGGGGATTTTTTAGATCATTTTTCCCAAGCACAAAATTGTAGGACAAATGAAAATATGCTGTGGAGCCTTGGCCCTTATGAAAAGTTGCCACTTAGTTCTCAGGTTCAAGGACATCCATCTTCAGGAATTGTTTCATCCAATCTGTGATTTGTAGAGTCAAGCCATTAACTATGTTCACCCATGTCCTTAAGGTACGTGTTTTGTTTTGGCTTAGGGTAGTGTGTGATCCCCATCAATTGTGGCTTTCTCAGCCAATCATGTTTAAATAAACCATGGCCCTTGTGATGTGTGAATCCAGTCCAAAGTTAATACTAAGGCCTATTTCAAATATTAGGGCAGGCATGTGATGTACAAATGAAAAAGACAAGCCAGAAACCCAAAGGTTAGTTTACAAAATGCTGTTTAATATTTGCAGAGGACTGAACTCCAAACACATTCTAATCAGTTCAGTTAATCAGTTAATGCAACTATAAATTTGGTCAAGAAATGTTTCTGCAAGGCAGCAACTGTGGGCAAATGCTGTAAGACTTCTTAAAAAAACTAATTTATACATAAGCCCTTGCTTTCAAATGCCAACTGCACAATCATAAACTGGGTTGCCATATCATGATAATTTCTGTCAGTTTGAGGCCATGTCCACGTTCTGCGTGGCATTTCAAAGGCTCTCCAAAATGAGTGGAGACAAAGCTTGTTTTGAGAGCAGATTTCAGGAGTTTTAAATACTGAAGAGTGTCTTTTGAACACCGGCAAGGCTTGTGGTCCTCATTTGGTCCGCTAAACCTTTCCCTCAAAACTGCCAAAAACGTAGAACAGAGTTCAAAATAGTTGGCCTATCTAATCTGAAGGCCGCAAAAGAGATGCTGGCATAATAGATAACTGACTAAGCATAATGTGGGGATTTAGAATCTATACACAATTGACTTTCAAACAGTTAATGCTCTCTTAGAGGGCCATCCACTCGGGAGAAGAGACTTGGATTTCCTCTGATGTCTAGCCCTAGTACTGTCCATTAATGACAGATTCTTGTTTACATTTCTGCATTCCTGTCCAGAAGAGTCCACCCATTAGACGAAATTTCCATCCACTCAGCCCTGACACATGCCCCCCTGGACTGCATTTTATGTGTCTCTTTAAGGTATGATATAGTTTGATTGGCATTGGTTTAGCACAGTGTTTCATAGCCTTGGCAGCTTTAAGATGGGTGGACTTCAACTCCCAGAATTCCCCAGCCAGCATGGCTAGCTGGGGAAT